ATATGTGTGTGTGAGGTGATAATAAAGTGAAAAGGCCTGTTTGCCTGGTAATTATATCACAAGACTTTTATTAAAATAAACTTTTATTGAAAATAAATAAAAGTACATGGATGGTTTTTGTTTTCGAGGTGTTGAAAAAGTGAGGTGAATGCAGGGGGGAGGGGGGGGGTAAGGTGAATAACGCCCGGGACGCTCGGATGCGGATATAATTTGCCGAAGAAATAACACACGCGTGTGGTATAGAATGCAAATAGGCGCCCAAACGTTTGACATGATGACGGTGATCGGCGTACCGCGCAAATAATGACGATGACAACGTACACGTGATGACGGAATCGATGTGGCGATGTGGTAGATCGATGGTGATTCTAGTTATGGTACAACAATACAACGTATAATGACTTTAGACACTGGCCCGTAGCACCGTAGGCTCGAGGGGGGGGGGGGCGGGAAAGGCAAAAATTTAACTCCCGGATACTATTGGTTTTTCAGTCGTGGAAGAAATGATAACAATGAGACCGATGTTGGAGATGAGTGATCTTCCGTGGTTTTGGTTGAGGGGGCCAGCGGGGGTTTTCGAGCGCTTCGTGATTTTGCAGCCGATGATGCTGGTGAGAGTCGAGGTGATATGGCGGAGGATAAGTAGAGCCGATGTCGGATCGACAACGCAGCGGCGACGTCACTCGGATGATGGATGGATGGATGATGGCTGGATATATCGATAGCGATGATTAGTAGTGGCCGTGCTCGTGGTGGGCGTGCTTGATCTCAACCTTGGGCTCGTGGTACACCTCCCAGCCGATGAGGTGGGGGTGGGGGATCTTGGGGTGGTCGTAGTGGAACTTGTGGGCCTCGCTGTGGACCTTCAGGTGGAGCGGCTTCGGGTGAAGCGGCGGGATGGGGTGCGGCTGGGCCACCTGGATCACGTGATGGTGTTCGGGCTCATGATGCTGAAATATCACGCAAATATATATTTTACCATACATTCAACGGAGGCACTAGTCGATTGGACGTAGGGTTGATTGGCGTTTCAAAAGGAAAAAATGAAGAAAAAAAAAAAAATCGGCAGGGAGAAGAAATAACGCGGCTCCTGACGAAATCGCGGACCAACGAAGACTGTGTTTTTTTTTACTGATACGTTACATGTCCGTACTGCCAGGGGTTCCATGCCTGCCATGGGTTCCAGGCGTTCCTCTGCCACGGATCGTGCCAGCCCTAGTTTCAACAACACAACGTCACATTTCTTTCGTAACTCACGATTGTCTTTTTTGTTTGTTTGTTTGTTTTACTTTTTCTCCAGACATACCGGGAGAAGTGGATACAGAGAAATAGAGAGCGAGAAGTAAAAGTTTGGAAGAGCAAAAATCGAGCTTGGAGTCCAGTGGCCGATTTAGCGTCGATTTGAGCACCAGCCGATTTCAATGCGTCATGTAAGGTGAGCCGTGGCGTGTCGAGATTATCGTTATCCGATCTGCAGCGAGAATCATGCCGATCCTCGTCAAAACTGCGCTCCCAGTGGCCGGGGAACGTGTTACTACGCATGTACAAGCTATGTCGGGTCGCCTGTATCGTTAACAGTTAATACCGATCTACGCGTCTTCTCGGTGCGCCGTACTGTATGCAAAGAAGACGCTACGGTTTAGGGCTTTCTATGTTATGTTTGAAGCCTAGGATGTACTTTACGACGACGTAAAAATGCACGCTATGATTTCTGCATTTTACGATCGTGTAAAAGTGTTCAGGCATCGATAGAAAGAGATCGGGATTGCGAGAAAAGTAAAATTTGGAAGACCACCGTTTCAAGTAAAAGTCTCCCGTTATAGGTGGCGGTTACTCGAGATGAAAACAATAGCGAGAAGGAGGGGGTGAGAAAGTTTTATTCTTTCAACCCAAGATCGTAAAGTCTTGGTAACGAGTATTAGTTTGTAAGGAATATACATTTCAATAATTGTCTATAGGTATATAGTTTTTGTAGTGTGAATTGGTAATTACCTCATAGCCGGGATATGCGCTGGCGGCAACCACAACGGCGAAAAGGACGAGCTGAAAACAAAGTTTGTTTCGTTGATTCGAGCTGGTGTTCCTTGTAAAAGTATTTACGATACATATTTTTTTTTTTTTTTTTGTTTAAGACTATTTTCCAAAAAAGCTTTGAATTTTTTTTTTTTTTTTTAATGCTTAGTGAAAAAAAATCTATTTTATCGTAGGTATCAAAAGTTGAAATCAGAAATCAGATTAAGTCTTGATCAAAATATTTTGGTGGACAAATCGCGTGTTGAGCGAATGAAAGGTTCTATTTCGATTTAATATTAAAATCGAGATAGCACCGTATTCCACTGAACATGCAAAATGTAATCTCAAACTGAAACTTGCACGGTTCACTTGAATACTGAAGGAGCACAGATTTACTTATTTGGAAAAAAAAAAAAAAAAAGAAAAAAAAAAGGTATGAAAGTGTAAAGGTATAATAGTATACGTATAATGTTGTAGGAGCGGGTGTTGAAAATGAAGACTTACGATCAACTTCATCATCTTGACTCGAGTTGATTTGAGTGAAACGTGGTTGTGGTGTGGTGTGTTGTGTGTTCTACTTGTGCGACACGCCGCGAGAAACTACATGCCTTTCGGGGCCGGTGGCTTAGCTTTTATAGGGGCTCGCGAGACCTAGAAAATACACTCCCGAGGCGGGGGCCCGACGCTCGAGACCCCTTTCACCACCGCCGCGCCGCCGCCGGGGCCCCATACGCTCGCGACCCCCTCGAACACACATAAGTACACCAGAGACTGTCTAGCCTATAGCTAGCCCCCTCCGAGACACTTTGCTCCATAAGTGTCTTCTCATGACCAGTATCATACGCTGCACCTGCTCCCTGCCGATCTCATAGACGAGCGATAGGGCTCCTCCCGACCGATACGTCATTTGGGCAGACATGCAACGTAACTCTATATTATATTATAATCGTGTACGGTGACGCGTGGTGTTAATTATCTACGGTATACAATACATATATTATTATGAGGATCAGGTAAGGGCCTCGGGAACCCTAACGAGCGAGTCATCGCGCCGTGTTGTACATATGTATACCGATCTGTGGTGACGCGCATAGCGCGACCAGAGTGGCACCTTGGCCGGGTTTTCTAAATCGAGGTGGGGTTTCGGTCTTGGCTGGCCGAGCTACCGGCTGCCATTTACAGGCAGACCGGGATTCCGCGGCTACGTTGTACGTTGGTACCGCTGCAGGAACGGCGGCCGTCCAGAGAGACCCGCGCGGTTGGCCAATCGCCCGGTTACCATTTATTTACATAATACGCGCGCGAGCCGAGTATACACCCGGGATTATCGAGCTGGTGCACCTAAGTGCATATACCCATCATTGGACCGCACCCCCTCCGATGATACCTGTAAAAGCGCGCAGCAGTATACCTACCGAGGACGTGCCATTTTTGGCCATTCAACCACCGCCTTGAATCTGCTTAGCACTTTATACCTATAAATGATATCCATCATCAGCACTGATTTGTTCCTGTGATGCGCATCAATATATTGTCGTATTCTCGGCTGCTGTTATCGTCATTATATTTTTCGCAATTCTCGAGCCATCGCTGGCTGATTGACCACTCGATCATGATTATCGGTGTGTGAGCGCGCGTACAATGTACAATGGGTCTTTGATCGGATGATGTACCCTGTCACGATGTATACATACATATCAAGCTAATTGTACACAAATTAATATTATAATTGAAAAATCGCGACTCTGTAATTATACGCAGACTGGAAGAGTTGAAAAAGTCGCTGGCAGCTATTATCCATCAGAAAATAACCAAAGATCGGGGGAAAAATAACAAAAGGCTCGAAAATATGTTGTAAAAGAACTTTTTTTTTTTTTTCCTCTTTTCTCCGAAGAGTGAGCTCACTTTTTTAAATACTCACCGTAGAGTGGCTGTACAGGTATACAGATAAAGAAAAACAAACAACGACCAACTTGAAACAAGTCATTTCAGGGTGTGTATATGTATGTATAACGTGTACAGATAAAACGCCTAGAATTATCTGAAAATTCGTTTTTCCTGAAGTAAGTAAAGCGAGAGACTCAAAAAGAGTGCGTTTAAGAAGAACTTGTTACCTATATATATGAATGAGTGCGCCGCGTTTTTCCCCAAGTTATTCAATGGGGGTCAGTAGGATCGAGGCCAACCGATGACGACCCCGATGTACCTGTACGACACGCCACAACTCCTCCCGCAACGACGATTGTTCGTAACTCTGCATGTATATATAGGGCTCATTAAACTTTCAGAGACAATTACGCGTTTGCTCGTGTGACCACTGTATATATATTATATAGATACGTGTGTTTTTGTCACACGAGAGTGGTTTATTTATATCACAAAATCATAGAAGAAGAAGAAGAAGAAAAAAAAGCGATGAGATTGTATCACTTTTATACAGCAACAAGAACAACGACGTACCTACCTATATATGATAGAACCGATGACGACAATCACGCGGCTAGAGATCCGCGCCAGCTGCATCCGAGACAATTAGGGAAAAGGAGAAAAATCTCGAGCACGGCGATAATTGCCCGTCGTCGGATGATCCACGCGTGTACCCATGGGCCGCGCACATATCCAATCAAGGTGTGTATAAAAATGTGGGCGCTCGAGGCACCAGTGGCTATATCGGTATATATCGGTGATGTTATAAAGTACAACAGTTTATTTGTCATCTCGCGTACACCTAAATACACAAGTAGTGTACAATATATAGGAAAATCCTCATAGGATCGGTTTAGATTCAAGGATGCGACGTGCCCGGTAATGTGTCGTTCGGGTGTGTACGCCTCCGTGCTTTTTTTCCCCCCTCCTCTGTCATTTTAACCGAGCCGTTCTACTCCAAGCACCACTGCACTCTTACACGTCTATACACAAATATAAATCTGTGTAGGTGATCGACCAATCACTCCTCGTTGCGCAATTTCGACACTTTCTGCATACGTACGCGCGTAACCCGCGGCGTTTACTTGTACTCTCTATACGCGTAACTGGTGGAAACGAAAAGAAAACACATTTACTACAGCCCTTGGAGAGTAAACTGCACCGCTTGACGTTAGCAACATCGAAATATTAAATTCCTCATGATGTATATGACTCTCTATCACTGTCAAGCGCAAATGGCTTTTTTAACCTCCGTACGTGAATTGGACAACGGCACGGTGGAATCGGTTAATCCCTTCCCTGAAATCGTTAAATGAAAAACCTTGCCAACTGCAGTCGAGAACAAAAGAACACCGAGTACCTAATAATAACTAGAGTACAGTTGGCCGGTGTCCCTGAAAACGTAGCTGCTTTTTACGCGGGAAAATTAAGTATTTTTTTCCACGCATTTTGCATCGTTCGGAGCTACAAATCTCTTTTTTTACCCGCACCTACAAAATGTATGTATCATGTATAATTATCATTATCTCATCGGGTATATCTCTCTCTCTGTACGCGCATCATGATCAAGATTACGGAATGGAGATATTTATGGGCAGGAAAAGTCTTGGGGCGTCAAAATAAGCCGTGGAGTGTAAAAAATCGAGCGTCTAGCTGCGCGAAGAGAGTACAGTCGCGCCTCAATGTATAAAAGTAGGGGCCGTTGTTGTTACGATGAGCCGTTACGACAGACGAAAGTTTAATGGCCAGCCGGCGCAACCATTGTTCCATTTTGTACAGGTATAAAACATGTACCTATTTATACATCGTTACTCCTCGACTGTTGCTGGCCGGCAGCGAAAATGCAAGCTCATCGTGCGAACATGTATGTACACTTATACACGTTGTGTTATTATTATTACCTCGTATCGTTGTTATTTCTGAATTTTCGCTGACCCGAGGCGCCGCCCACACGTGTGATGATGATGATGCATCGCCGAGAGATCTCAATCGGTCGTTGGCTCGAGACGCGCGTGCAATAACCCATCCAGACATAACATATATGTACCTATATACCGATATATATATATAATGAGCAGCCATGTTATATTATAATATTATCATATCGGTGTAGGGATCAACAAAGTATATTTATAGGTACGTATACTCCTCTGATTATGTGATCGTATAATATGCACATGAGCTTTCGCCGAGCGGGCGATTGTGAGGTAACAGGAGGGACCACCTTTTGGCTTTTCCCCGCCCAAGTATGTGTGTGGCGGAAGAAATGGGGAGGAAAAAAGGAAAAAAAAGGAAACGAGAGGCGAACGAACTGGAAGAACGAGTATTGGCAATTAAACGGTGTGCGTAACTAAGTATCACAGTATACAGTAGTTTGATGGGCGCCCCGCGCGCGTTAAGGATGCAGATATAGACCGCGAAAAATTACATGGATACTCTATATGTATATATGTATACATCATGTGTTATATGCAGGGGTTACGAGATTGCTCGCGATTCGCGAATCATTTCTTCCGAGAGCCATTCACGCGCCTTTGATTATCGGCGCATTGGTGTGTAGGTACGCGTGTACGAGTAACGGCCAGTCCAACAACTTGCGTCACTTATGCAATCAATCCGTACCTATATATTATAGTGTACTCACATATATCTGCAGTGTACTATAAGTGCAACACAAACTTTTCAAATATATATACACATGTATATATGTATTCATAAACCATGTGCCGTTCCACAATCTGGTTGCGCTGCTTTCTACGCGATACCGGTGATCCAATGTATACTATAATACCTATACCTATAAAAAAAAGATAGTGAAAATAGGCATAATACGTATCTTGGGACAAACTTTTAGGGCTGTTTTGACTGTGTTTCCCCACTGTTTCGTTTGTTGGGGGTACCCAACTGAGAGTATGTCGTCGGGTGGGTATAAGCGTCTTCAGCCTTCCCGTCACGTGCATGTGTTTCTTTTTTTTTTTTTTTTTTTTTTTTTTTTTTTTTTTTTTTTTTTTTTTTTTTTTTTTTT